AAATTAAGTGATAATGGCAAACTGTCAAATGCAGACAGATTGGATTCAGTTGTCAATCTGGGTTTGTGTGTTAATGGCTTCATATTTACATTACACAATTCACATTTACAGATTAGACTCCTTCCTAATATGAGTAGTGGGAATATTGAAAAACCACAGGGGAATTTGTAGGTCGTGTTTATGTCGAGGCATGGAGATCTGTCCTTTGTGACTCATATTGAGGTGGAGTCATCATGAGCTCTACAGCATCAGCAACACATGAAGTGTCTCCTGTTCATATGGAGAGGTACTGACACAGCAGCAGTGTGAGAAGAAGAAACAGCACAGTTTGCACCAGAAAGCCAAATGTCCTCTAAAGACATTTCCTGTGCTGGTATATATTGGGACACCATCTCTGGGCAGCCTGAAATGAGCCTTTGATTAATCTCAGCTAAAGCAATCCATATTATGGAGGGGGGAGGGGGGAGTTTATATGCAGGTTATTATTCTAATGCATGATTAGATGAGGCAAAAGCGAACACATACACATACACTCACTCACAGAGACATGCACGCTTACATGCCCACCTGCAAATGGCACTGCGGTCGTGTGGTCCGTCGTTCAGAACCCAGTCAGAGCTGTCCACACTTGATGATGGTGACCCCCCCAGTCTCTGCAAGTCATGTTTCATCCAAGAGGAATGACACAGATCTTTTTTTTTAAATCAAGGACACCAAGGATAAGAGTGAGGTGAAGTATCACTGTCACCTCTCAAGGATTTGTTTAATAATAATATTTAACATGAGGAAGTTCTGAGTGCCATAATGAAAAAGTAGCCAACGTCCAAGGACCTAAACGACGGACCACGTGATCGCAGTCAAATATCAGCCATGCATTTTATGCTATTTTGTCGAAATTTACATGTGAATGCAAATGTAACCTGGTATTATAAATAGGCTTGTGCGTGCTATTAAAGGGCAGAGAGAAGTAGCATAGGCCGTGTGGAGGGTGACGGGGTTGCAGCGAATCAGCGCTGCAGACACTGCAGAGCGCTCAGCCTGTCACCTCCCCTCCGTCCAGCTGTCATCTGACAGCGGCACACATGAACCTCAGCGCCGCCGCTGCTGCAGACGGAGCTGGTCACCCGTGCGTCCAACCACCCGCTCCCCGGCGTCTTCATTCAAACGGGGACAACAACATGTCAGGATACAGTCGAGTCTCTGCGGACTGACGCGTAGGAGGAGAGCCGCGCCGCTTCTTGCTCGTTGTGCGCTAACGCTAGCTGACTTTAGTTAGCCTGCAGGCTAGTGGCAGCTAGCTGCGGAGCGGAGTCCTGCATTGTGCCGTCAGTTCGCTAGCGAAGCGAAGGTCGGAGGGACTCACGTTAGCTGGTAGTGCGGAGCGGGTGCAATTCGCCATTCGGCTCCATTAACGTGTCATTTTAATGGTTTGTTTTGATGCTGCGCGATATTTTGTTTTTCTCGTGTCACCCCGCTTCACGTTTCATGCGTTTATTCATTTAACGAAATTTATCGCTTGATGTTTTGCCAGCTAGCTAGCTAGCTACTCGGCTATGCTAACGCCAGCTCAGTGAGAGCTCGCTCGCGGGGGTGCGGAGAGCTCCAGGCGGGTCAAGGAAGAGAGGTGGCTTATGATGTGGGCTGAGGGAAGCGGCGGACAGTCAGGCGAAGGAGAGCAGCAGTATTAACTTAAACACGTTGTGTGTGTTCCTCATACTAATCCTCGTCGAGGTTAAGGGGCCATAGCGTCTGTCAAGCTGTGTGCGGGGCGTTGGATGAAGGAGGAAAGAATCGGGGCACTTTGATTTGCGAGCGGGCTAAATGAATAGTGTCGGTGTCGTTGCATCGTGAACCGGTGGCCGCCGTGCCAGCTTGAAGGGGAGGTAACTCTGTCGAGATTATCGCACGGACTGCATCAACCAGCCAGTTTGCTTTAAGATGGCTTCGGCGATCAGCATTGCCGCATCCATTGCGAGCAAAACGAAGACCAAGAAGAAGCACTTCGTCGCTCAGAAAGTGAAGCTCTTCCGTGCCAGCGACCCACTGCTCAGTGTGGTTATGTGGGGAGTCAACCACTCGGTGAGTCATCTAATCCTCACACAGTGATTCACAGTAATGTTCCCCTTCGTCCTTTTTGTGATGTGCCACATGAAGCGTTAGCTACTTGCTGTCATCTGTCAGCTGATGGACAAGTACTGGATGACATCTGTCCAGCTGTTTGGCCTCGGTGCTCTCACTGTAAATGTCTGATTGGCTGCAAGACTCGTACCGTTAATCATCAGCTGTGTTTTCTTTGGTAATCTTTTTGTACAGTTACAGCTCCCATGATATTAGTGTTGCCTGATGCTGATGTATGCACATCTCTCTCTGTGTGTGTGTGTGTGTGTGTGTGTGTAAAGTGAACTCTCTTTTTTTGGCTTCCTGTTGTGCTCATTCAGTATAATATAAGCTGCCAGGGCTCTGTGTCATGAGAGAGCAGATCTTCCCATGCAAGACAGCTTATCTCTGCTCTCTGCTCTCTTTCGCTTCCTTTTGCTGAATATCTGCACTGGGCCAATGCTCATATGTAGGAGGGATAGAGAGGGAGAGCAAACTTGGCAGGCAGAGTACACACAAATTATTCTGGCACCAAATCCCAAGTATTCAACATTTTAACGAATGTTTAACATATATTATTATAGCACACTAATAGATGGTGCTCAATCAGTAGACTCAGGCTGTATTAATCTGTAGGGCTTTCAGTTCTCTCACTCTTCACTCTCCTTCATCCTTTCTTCAGTAAAAGCCAGCCTGTTTACTGAACGTTTTATCGGATGCTTTGATTTGAGGAGAAGTGCTTTTTAATATATAAACATGGGATCACAGATGGAAGTGGGCAGCAGCCTTCAGTAAATACCTCTCCTTTTAAAAATGTGTTTGAAATTGTGCCCATGGCCTATTAGTGTAAAGAGAAAAGTATTGGCCCTTACATATGTATTGCTTCTCTGTCTGTGGTTGTCCTTGATTTTATTATATGTGGCAGTGGACAACACACCAGAAAGAGCACACCCAGAAGGGGCTTCTTTAGCAAATTAAGAATGAATTAAATTTGAAATATATAATAATCGGACTAGCTTCATAATAGATGTCACTTTTACATTAATATGTATTTGGTATTAAGTTAATGGGTCACATTTGATGTGGTTGACTTACTATAAACACAGAGTGAAACTTGTTAACTGGCCACTGTAAACATCCCTACAAAAGCTTACCTTTCTGTAACTGTATACTATATCTGACATACTGTTTTTTACAGGTAATTTTTGGGAAAATGATAATGATGCTAGACTGCATCATGTCTTTTGCGCTTTGTTTGAATAATGCAGCCATTTTTGCTCTGTTGTTTTGGCCTAATTTGGGCACTGTTTCTTAGCGTTGCTTGGAAAATTCAGATACAGTAATGACCACTCCCCTTTAACAATTTAACAGTGTTATGAATTATGATTGGGTGGAGTTAATATGTTTTGTTTAAACCCATATCTCTATTTTGGGTTAAGGAATCCAACAGTCTTTCATGGATATCAGTGTGACCGATACTTAAAGGTTCGAACTGAGGCTTTTGATGGATTACACAGCATCTAGATGACCTAATGTATATGAGGCCGATTTAGCGCTGAATCTGTATCTAAGCTGTAGTCTGTGATGGATTACAGTCACCTGGCTGTGCTGTTAAGCCTAAGGGGTAAGGCAAGGTACACACCAGGTTTTCCTCTGTGCAGTATTTATTGAATACATTCACTTTTTAAATGTCACTTGAAATGCAGATGAAAGATGAAGATTGATATCTGCTAAACGGTCGTCTGAGGAAACTCAAATCCTTCTTTAAGAGACCTGAAGTGAAACAGACATTGCTGGTTCTGTTCCTGGAGTAAGAAAACAAAAAAACTGCCTTGGAACAAACATTAACCATTTTCCAAGCACCTTTGTCATTCTCGAGTTGGATGTCACTGCCCGTCAGAACAGTCCACGAGTGAGTTCAGAGGTCAAAGCAAGCTCCAACATGTCTGTAATAACAGCATGACAGAGAGACCGAATGTGAAGTTTCTACACAGCTGAGAGTTGGACAAGAAAGTTGAACCTACTCTAGAAGAGAGCATTTATGATTTATGAATATCAATGAAACCAAGTCTGGATGACGTAAACCTGACCGATTCTAGTTTGTTTTCATGGGAGCTGTATTTTTTTTTTTTTTTTCACAAAGTAAACGTATAACTTTGTTAAAATCATGAAGGCTTCCAATTTCTTACAGCCACAGCTGTAGAATATATTCAGAGTTAAATTGATTACCATCATTTAGATCATCTATCTGTGTCCATGCATGCCCAACAGAGTAATATATCCACTCTTGTGTCATATCACAAACATTCTCTGTCTTATTCATGTGTCTCAGAATGCGAGGCCACTGATTCACAACGATAAAAATCTACACGTTTGGAGGATCTACATGTTGAAACTGTTCTCCTGGATTGCATAACAGAGCAGGGCTGCCGCCAGCACATTTCCTTTTTTATGCCTTAGGCTACCTCTCCTGCTGTTTTTCTCATCACTTGATAAGGTACTGGGTTTCTCATACCATAGGGCAAAATAAAATTGACATCCCCCTGTCAGGTCACTACTTGGAACTTGCTACATCTTCTGGTAAAAAAAAATGCTTTGAATTGAATTAACTTAGTTTGGCAGTCAGTTTTAGTTTTTTACAAATGTATTTAAATGGTGGTGTGCAACCTATCACAGGCACTTACTGTATAAACAATAATAGCAACAATATTTTAAATTTATACTTCCTCCCATGTCTGCAAATGTCTGTGCTGACCCCTCAGTGGATGTCTGTGTGCAGCCTAATTTGGTGACCTCATGGACTGTATGCACAAGTGCAGTGACTGACCGTGGAGATCTGGAGAGCCATAGGCACTATTTCCTATCTTACCAGTTGAATGAAGCAAATATGTTTTGTATGATGAGTAATATAGGACTTTCTCTAAATGTCATCAGAATTACTTTGTCTGACAAAAAGCCAGGAATATGTTATCTTGAAATTTTACAGGATCTTATAGGTGTGTGGATTGCTTAAAATAGCTATATATATTCTTAGACAGGTTGCCCATTTTCAGTTTAATCTTTATACATTGAAATTTTACTTGTCCCTCACAGCCTCAATAGGTTACACAGCTCTCAGTTTTACATAAATGGATTGAGGCCAAAGCTAAAAAGTTTTTTTTCCAGTGGAAATCTCACTTTCAAACACCACAGAAGCTTAGAGGTTTGCAAAAATTCAAATCGAAAGAGAGTCTGATCAATCTTAAATTAATCACAAAAGCATTTTCGTTTTTTAATCTGCATGACAAATAAAGAATAGTTCTGGCTATATGTTTTGATGTCTGAAGTTGATTAAAAAAAGGTCTAGGTTTCTACATTTCAGTAATTCACACAAATATTTGAGGGGCTGAAGTGTGCTGCTGGAGTAGAAACATGTCAGAATATGTTTTACTGACAGTTTTTGTGTCGATTTATCACCAGTTGGAAAAAGCTGCATTGTCACAGTTTAAGGCAAGTCCTGTGTAATTATAGCTTTGAGTGTACCAGATCCTAACCTGCTGTTGCATGTCACCTGCTCTTGTCCTTTGTAAAGACAACAAATTATGTTGATGATTCCCTCTGGTTTCATTTTATCACAGGCCTAAATACTGAATAGTTTTGCCCTTTATTTTAAAGTATTGGGCCACTCAAGTGACATGAAGAGAGAGGCCATTAATTAAGTCATTTTCAGTTTCCTCCTTTATCATTACAATTAGAGATGTAAAAATACATTTCACTAATATTTCTTTTTTATTTGGGGCCTTCTTAGGTTTTCCTTTTCTTTTTCTCGGTTTCGCTCCTGTATTTCTTTGCCTGCGTCAAACTCTCCCCAGCCTGGAGGTTCATTCACAGTTTTCATGTCATCCTGTCGATGCTGCTCACTTTCAACCCACGCCCTTCTCTGTCCCCTTTCTTTGCTCTGTCCCACCTCTCTGTCTGATTCCAAGTAGCTGATTCTGGTTCTGTTGATTGCATAAGATGGGGTATTCTATAAATATCTGTAGGAGTGACGTACAGCTCATATGTGTGATGATTATGGGTGAGGAAAAAAAGAGTTTTACATCCTGGCACCCTCAGGCAGTGGCAGATAGAGGAGCGTCTAGAAGTGACTTGTGGTTTGTTTCAGTGCACATCTCCAAAAACCTCCAAACAAAAAAAATTATTCTGTGTTCGCTCCTGCAGTGATGCAGACATACTGTAAATGCATGCACATGAGTGCTCTTGTAAATGTGTCCTTCACCACAGAGTAACTGTGTCATGGCACACTCCATTTCGAAATGTGATGCATGTTGCATCATGCATACGTGTTTGATTCACTCAACATGACAGGCCATATATTTTAAGCCTGTTTGTTGCACAGTCAGTCTAAGCCACTATATCCTTTAATAGCTGGCCTTTCGTAGCACTGACTTTATAACAGTCTCTCTCTCTCTCTCTCTCTCTCNTGTGTGTGTGTGTGTGTGTGTGTGTGTGTGTGTGTGTGTGTGTGTGTGTGTAAGCGAATACATATGAATGGCATAGAACTTATTTTATCATCTAGTTTAATAGTCATGACTGAAAAAAAAATAACACAAATATATAAATAAATCTAGGTTACACTTTTATATATTTTCAATAGCTGTTAATATGCAGCCTCTGTTTCGAAAAAATAATTAAAAGACCTTTTAAGTAGTGGCATTCCTTGAAACTTACATTTGGGACACATTGCCACTTGGAAACACGTTTCCTTTCTTCAGCACTTCAGTAAGTGTTATTAAGTGACTGACTCTGACTAAAATACTTGAATGACCTGTTACTGTCAGATATGAATATAACATGAAATGACAACCACACGTTTTTAATTCTGCCACATGTGACTCACTCAGGTTTTGTCCAAGGCATCTGTTTTTCTTTCTGTGTCTCCATTTCTCTCTGCCTCACTTGCACACACAGATGCAGCATTCCGTTAACCTTAACCACCTTTCCACTTTTATCGTCAGTGTGTCCTCATTTTTGGCCGACCTCTCTTTGCTGTGGCTGTGAGCAGGTGGGGTGGGAGTTGGGGCTCACGCTGACACTGAAGTTGTCAAAGGTGTTGGTGTAGGTGTTTTATGTCCTGAAGACATTTTTTGCTAATCTGTAGAATGCAGATCAATTAAAAAGATGATAGCTGATCAGTTAGTGTGTTCTCTTCTGCCTCTTTTGCTCTTTACACTAACTGGTTACCTGCAGGCAGGTTAAGTCTGCTCGATTGTGATTGATCAAACTAGAAATGGAAAAGAGAAAGCTTCCGGCCCCAAAATCTCATCCCTCATCTACAGATTATATTAATATGCTAAATCTGTTCATAGAGATTAAGGTCTTTACAATTAAAATATATGTTTTGATCAGTTATTTAAATCTGTCGCTTCAATACGTAGATCCCTGATCCACACATCAAGATATGACTGTAATACTGTGTTTAGGGTTTTCCTGTTGAAAAGGTCTTCTGGGTTTTGCTCTGTATGTCCTTATCTGGATATTGTTAAAACTCTGAATTGTCCTGGGATTCATAACAGGTCAGATAATGATGTAATGGCCTCCGTAAGCAGTCAGTGAAAGGTCAAGTGTACGCTCAGTACAATCTACTGCAGGTATATATGACCTTTAATGCTCACTGTCTTACTGTTAAAGGGTATCTCATCTCCATCTAACTAGGTGTATCTATGCTGTGTATGATTATATTTGTGGTGTACTAATATCATTGTGTGGTCAGGAAGTAAACCAGATATATAGACAGTAAGTTGTTTTGTTTGCATCTGAGTCATTCCTTAAAAATGTGTGCATGTGCGTTACTTGGGAAAATATTTTAATATAAATGTTGAGTTTACAAGCTGTCGCTGTATAAACATACCGCCCAAACAGCTGCATTGAATTGATTGCACACTGCTAACCCACTTTCCTGTCTAATATATTTATACCCCTATGTATAAGTCAATTACGTGATCAGTCAGTCTTGCTTACACTTTAATTAGAGCCACTTACACTCTAATATCTTGTAAATAGGCTTAGAGGAAGTGCATTGCAGTGCGCCATTCAGTCTAAGAGTTGTTTCTTCAAAACACTTCCCATCACCCCACATAATTGACAGCTTGACGCTTTAACATCTGCGTAATGGTATAATATGACTACTAAGTACACAGCACACACTTACTGGTGCTTTTCTCTCCCTCACTCTGGTATTCGCCTATTAGAATTAGTTTTCTGTACTCTGCTTGTCTTATAAGACTTCTGTTTGTTCAAGCTCATAAATATTGAATTTTGAAGTATTTGTTGGGCTGGGCACATAGCATTGTGAGCACATACTACTATTAAGTGTGGAGCATACACATTATATACACCAGTGATATATCGGGTGTTTTTAGCATCTTACCACTTCTACCAAACTTTCTTATTCCACACATGCTCATGCTGAGATTCATTTATTTCCCTAAAATTAATATTTACATTTTATTTCTTAAACACATGGCATAATCAAGGGTACTTTACAAGGGGAACTTGATAATGGCTTTTTATATAGGGAACATATTCTAGCTGTAGCTTGAAACTCAGTAACTATGTTTACAGTGTCCTATGTTATCAGAAATAAGAGAAGATAAAACAGATGACAGTCTTAGGTTCCTGTATATTGGAAAATGTCTGCCTACAGGCTTTATATCCTATTAATCCTTTTTATTATTATTTCTAGCTTTGGGAGATGCTTACTACCACTCTCACTTGCACTTAAGAAATGACCAAATCCTCATCATTATTAAACCCACATCTTATATCAAGTGTTAAAGTTGATATAGTATTTGTGCTGTCAACACTTTTAGTGAGCTGTCATCCACAAAAAGCAAGTCATCTGTATGTAATTGTTCTGAGAGATAACACTGACATGCTGCTGACAGAGCATGCTGTCCTCATCAACTTCCTGTCTAATGGAGCAACAGCTAACACTTGCTTCACTCTGGGCAGGAAAACCAGTCCTCGTCACCATGGAGACAAACAGGAAGTGGTGGTGAGAAATTTGTCTGCAAGTTTGATAGCTGCAGGAAGATAAGCAGATACGGTGGATGCATCTGATTAAACAAAACTATGCTCAAGGTAGAAAAAAATGACAAGACCTCAGCAGATTAAATAGGAGTAGGACACATGCTGTTTAAGCACTTGTGGGCACCAGTAAAATATACTGAAGAAACACAGGAGTTTGAAGAATTGTTAACTGATGCTATTTTTTTTCTGGCCTTTCTCAAGGGAATTATTATATCACTTTCTAGAAGATATTTTGACTATGTTGACATACACATGCATGTGTCAATCATCATCTCTATTGCTGTGAGTTGAATTAACATTCACTACATTTGTGTCCTAACAGAGTGCGCATGTATGTGTGTGCGCTTGCCATTGTCTCTGCCCTTGTGTGAAACACAGCTTTGTTGATTAGGCGACATCTCGCCACTGAGTACCCAGAATTCATCTGGTCTATAGCATCACTGTGACGTCAGTGCCTGTCACACCAGGACACAAAAAGATTCTCAGAAATGGCATCTGTGGGCTTGGATGCTTTGCTGACTTTGTCTCACATATCTGCTCCATTTGTAGTGCTTTTTATCCAGCTATGATTTCTGCTATTGTGTCAAATTTTTGTATTTCTTTATATTCATTTCATAGATTCCCTCTTAAAAATCTCTTCTGTTGTTAATCCTATTAATGATGCACAGTGATGCTATGTTCTCATCCTCCTTCTGTGTCTCTTCCATGGCTTAAAAGCTTACATTAATCCTAAAGAATATGTAAAGTCCACAGATATTGGTTTGAATCGTAACTCTCACCTCTAGTAAGACAATGTTACATACATAAGACACCAACTCTGCAAGTGAACATGGGATAGAATGAAATTACCAGCACTAATACTTAATTACTAAAGAAATAACAGTGAAATCAGTGACAGTTTTTTCCGCTTTGTAAAGATGATAGCATGTTGTGTTAAAAATAGCATCAATCCTGTCCTGTACTCTTTTTGCTGGCAGCCTCCAAGTAAAGCAGATTGAGCTGGCTCTCTTTTGAAATCACAACCAATTAAACACACTCATTACCCAAGACAGGGGCTGGCAGCAAGGTTCCAGTTTGCTGGCTAAAGTGGTTAGCTGAAAATCTCCTGTCAGACAAACCTTTAATATGCCAGACTTGTGTTGAAAATGGGTAGACATAAGCCGGCTGTGCACTTCCTATTTAAAGACAGAAGGAAAACCATGGGCATTCATACCATGGACATGTTTAAGAGGTGGATCGATTGTTAATATGGTTGGGAGATCAATGCAGTAATTGAATTTGGAGGATCCCAGTCACTATTGGAAACAAATCATTTTCTTCTGTCCTGCAGTTTATATTTTTGGAGACACTCTTATCAGAATCAGAATCAGAATTCCTTTATTGTCTCAATTATACAGTGGGACGCTACTGTAAAGAGATGCACGTTTATTTTGTGAGTCATACAGTCAATCAGAGTTTGTGTTTGACTTTATTCAGTACACCTGCAGTATAAATTTGATTGTTGGAATGACAAGTTATTAATAGACTGAAGCAACCTGCCAGCCTCCCTGCCTGGAGCCAACAACGACTACGTGAGCGCACACACCCATTATGTGTATCAAGCTGTGCCTGACTCATAACAAATGTCAGGTCTATGTATTACAGCCATGTGATGCATGGTCAGCTCCAAATGGAAACTCCTGCAATGCACCTTATGTGTTTTTTGAAGCCCCACTGTTGTATAATATTTATTCAAGCCTCCTCTTGTAATACAGCATTTAGGTGAATGACGGTCACGATTGTAAACATGCAGGCTAAATGATTTAGTCTAACCAACCTGATTGTCCTTAACATCTCATCTCACTATCATATGTATGATTCAAATATGCTCTAAGATGTAGTTAAACTCAATTTACTCTTCAGGGATTCTTTTAGTCCTTTTCCTGACACTGCCTAAAATGTCCTGATTTGTTGTGACTGATGTGAGTATTGTATTGATGTGTTGTGCACCATGCTGGCCTCAGCGGATTTTAAAATACGTTTTCATTGCCATCATCCACAGGATGACATGATCATCTTTGTTGCAGGAGCAACACAGAGCCTCACTTTTATTCATATGTATATACGTGTCTCTCTTCTACTGAGACACAGTGTTTGTAATGTGTATAAATAATGGCCTGGATCAAAAATTAACCTTGGTATTTTGTCATCAAATGGCTTTTGTTTTGTTTTTTGATCGTTCTTTTGTGTGTTTTTTTCTGCACAGATAAATGAGTTAAGCCATGTTCAGATTCCCATCATGCTCATGCCAGATGACTTCAAGGCCTATTCTAAGATCAAAGTGGACAACCACCTCTTCAATAAGTAAGCTATTTTTTCACTCTGTTTCCCATTATTTAGGAAACTGTAAAATGTGTTTGTCCACTGCATCTCTCAAAATGTCACTTGTAACGTCTTGTTCTTTGTGTCTGCGCTCAGGGAGAACATGCCCAGCCATTTCAAGTTCAAGGAGTACTGCCCTCTGGTGTTTCGAAACCTCAGGGAGAGGTTTGGCATCGATGATCAGGATTTCTTGGTATGTCACAAAGACAGACAAGCAACATCACTACTTCTTCTTGGTCAAATTTCGAGTTTCTTTCACTTTGTACTACTTAATGGGTGTCAATTGTCACACAATCAAATACATTTTCTGTACAAAATAAACTCATCCATCAGGTACTGCAAAAACACTAAACACTTGTAACCATTCCAAAAAACAATTTTGATCACAGTCATAACTTATAAAGTGTTGCTCCTGTTGCTCTTTTTCCTTTCCCTCTTTTGTTTCAGCCCACTCCTTGCCTTCCTTTCCTTTTTCCACTCTTTCCTACTAAATCCCTGTTTCCCAGTGCAGCCAGTGAGTTGGCAGTACTTGGAGGTCATTGTGTCCCAGTTCAGTGCAGCTGTCCTTCTCACATGTTTACATCAGTGTTCGGCTGGCTGAAGAGAGTGGGCAGTTGGGGTGTTAAGACAGCGGCCAATGCTCGAGAATGCTGTGACATTCTCGACATTAAACCACTTTATTACACGAGGCTCTAGTCACATTGTGGTCAAAAGGTTTATTTGTTTGTCCATTTTTTGACCTTGCTCTAAAACCAGCAGTATTTGTAATTACACTGATAATATTCCTCATTACAGCCAATGGTCACCGCCACATGCAATCCTGCTCTTTTGACAAAATGCACAAGTAACCTTTAGTTTTAAAGAGCAATGCTAGCAGTGTTACATGTAGTTTTGTGTCGTGTAAGTTAGGGGCAAACAAAATTACCCTTTTCCTCATATTATAATAAATGCATGGTGGAGGAAAACAAATTAGCTTTTCATCTCTGCCAGCCTCAGGCACAGGGCCTCCTAAGCATTTTCAGCCCGTGACAACCGCACTTCAATGTTCCACCAGCATCTGGACTATAGGTGGATGTCTCCGTGTTTATGTTTTTAGGGACCTCCAGAAACAAGACTGGAACTAATTTTGGGGTCTGAACACAAGAAAATTCATCTTCACAATTGTTTTAGCATGTACCTCAAAGGTTAGCTTTCACTTTGCAAATACAAGCAATTGATGCTAAAGGTTGACAAGTGGAAGGGGGAGATAAGGGCAGAGGACATTGGGAATTCTTGAAGAATGAGGTATTGAGCCAGGGGTGTTGGATCATGTTACTTTTGAGCTCCAAAGTCTGGGCAGCAGCTGTTTGCGTCTGTGTGAAGCTTTGGATGGGCGGCAGGCACAGAGGTCAGAATTCCATATGTTTAGAGGGGAGACACAAAGAAGTAAGGACAAAATGCAGTGTGAGCTTTATCATAAATACATTGGAGGAGTGGCTCTGTTAACCATTCACCTTATTGAAATATGTAATTTCCCCATTAGTTATTTAATATTAGAGACCAATCAGGGTTTTGACAGAAGAAATGTGCATTTAGTGAGACTGGCCATGAACATATACTAAATTACAAAAACATATAATAATGCATGATGTCAAAAAGTGATTGAAGGCTTAATTATCGTGATATTTCCGTGTGTACATACGTACATCCTGATTAAACTAGTTATTGTTTTCTGTCTGTCTCTGCATGTTTTCAGAACTCACTGACACGTAGTGCTCCCTTGAACAGTGAGGCCCAGGGACGGAGCGGGGCTCGCTTCCACACCTCTTATGACAAACGCTATGTCATCAAGACCATCAGCAGCGAGGATGTGGCAGAAATGCATAACATTCTTAAGAAATACCATCAGGTGATTACAGACTATGTTATATTAATAAATATAGAAATACAAGTCTTGATTCTTCCTTACGAAAGGTTTTCTAAAACAGTGTCTTTGTTAAACCACAAATTATTATTATTATCTGAAGGAAGTTACACAAAATAGGATTGTGGGATAATCACACACAAAGAATTTTGACATACACCTGTATCCTCAAAGTTTTCAACCTAATTTTCCAGTTGGAGTAAATTACAAAAAGTGTCGGGTTACACATTTTTTGTTATTTTTCAAGACAGCTGATGTAGTAGGTCCTCTTTTGTCTGTTTATCACCTTAGAGTTGATCACGTGAATGATAATCCTTGCTCTCTTTTACTAGTTCATTGTGGAGTGCCATGGCAACACGCTTCTGCCTCAGTTTCTGGGGATGTACCGACTCACAGTGGATGGAGATGAGACCTACATGATTGTCACACGCAATGTCTTTTCCCATCGCCTCTCTGTCTACAAAAAATACGATCTCAAGGTAGGAGGAAAGGACACACCAAGAAAAGGAGAGTGATTAGATAATGTGTGATTATAACTTTAAATGGAGGAATCTATGTCTGTTTGTTTATGTAGATTTTCTCTACAATGACTCATTTGATTGTCTTTAAACTTCACTGCTTTTTTGCTGAGGAAGATAGTTTTTATGGATTTTTATGGATTAGTTGAGAAATGTAAAATAGACAGTAAATAATGTTTACAAACTACACAACCATCCAACTCATGTGTCACTGATTGTGAACTTTGTCATAGGACCAGAGACATTATAGAGAGGGAGCTTAGCCTCTTTAAAAATCCTGGAATAAAAAGTCTGTAATGGTAAAGATTGAGGTTATATGAAATCAGGAAAACATAGAAAGTGCATAGTTGAGGTAATCCTATTCACTCTTAGGAAAGTTAGGCCAAGCAATCGTCCTCTACCAGTTAGCACATTTTAAACAGGTACTTTGAGAAAAAATAATCAAAATCTGACATATAGCTGCACCACAACTGTACTTTGTTGTCCCCCTTTTTTCCAAAGAACTCTATTAGCTGACAAAACAATGTGAGAAAAAACGCCTTTTTGTTGTTTCACAGGAAAATATTTTATTAAAGCATGTACAAGTCAAGTCTGTGAAATTTTAATAGTTGGTCATCTGAGGTTTGTTTGTATGTTTAAGATTAAAGAAATTAGTCATTGGGTAATAAATGTTCTTAAATAGGCTCTGGACAGACAACCTGTCTCAGAGCAGAGTAAAGCCATTTTAAGCCATGTTGCACCTCGCCTGCCTAATTGGCTGAGCTTCTGTGTTCAGGCATGCACAATGGTTCTGAGTATCTGCAGGAATGAGTGTAAGGAGGGGGGGGGGGGTGAGGCAAAGGACTGAAGCAAGACTTTCCAGTGCTCCTAGTAACAACAGGGTAGTGAGAGTAATTTTCTTTCTTTCTTTTATCTAGGGTTCTACTGTGGCAAGAGAGGCCAGCGACAAGGAGAAGGTACAGGCACCTGTCGTGAGCAAGGATCCACTACTATGCAAACCTAACACAAGTTTAAACATGGGCGTAACTTCTTACTGTATGCTTTAAACAGGCAAAATACAATACTACTACCACTAATAAAGCAGTGCTACAATTACAAAGTCCGTCAGACTAAAAGCAACAGTTAGACATTTACTGATAAATCAGAAGAAATATGGCAATACAAACAGCCAGCATGTTTTGAAAGTGTGTCTGGAATAGTTTAGCTGCTCGTTCCTCATCTTTCTCTCAGAACTGAGAGTATCAATCCACACCAACACCACAGCGTTGCATGTCAGTACGTAAACCACTTTTTCTTATTTTTGTCCTTGCACACAGTGAAACTACTGTATCTCTTCCTGTATTTTATTGTATAGTAAATTTAAAAAACAGGACACTTGATAACACTGTCATTTGAGCACATCAGCATGTTGCTCAATGGACAGCTGGTTCAGATGGAGCCGAGTGTGAATTCACCAGAGGAACATTTATGTACTGTTGATGGCATTTTTCATTCAAAGAACAAGGGCGGTCAAATAGTGTTCAGTTCAAACGAGAGAGAGAACAAACTGTTTCCAGTGGTTTCAATGACCAACATAGCTTCCCACAGTTCCAGGCTTACTGTCATCACCCAAATGGCCCAACTAACACAACTTTGGTATCTGCTTTTCATTTTTCCCCTTTGGGTCTGGATGACAGTACCAAATATCCATCTCCTTCAGTTAGCACCTACTTCATCACCCCATTCCCTTCTAGTCCCTGCACGCTATCTGTTTCTTAATTTGCTTCATCCCCTCTAACCTCGCTTCTGCTGTGCCATCGGTTCCCCTGCTTGCTGTCTTTGTGTTAGAAGTTGTGTGTGTTTGCGTGTCTACGAGTGTGTTGGTTTTATTCAATCAGATGTGATCCCATGATTTCTGAGGAGCTCTGTGTATGATGTCTTTTCATTGTGTGTGTGTGTGTGTGTGTTTGTCTGTCTGTGTGTCTGTCTGTGTGTGTGTGTGTTTGTCTGTGTGTCTGTCTGTGTGTGTATGCAGTATATATAAAGAAGATATTTTGTATATGTTTTTGACGGTGATGGACATATTGCTGTTCAAATGTGTGGTTTGTGGCTCTTGTACTGGCAGATATAGCAGAGATACAGACAATACATCTTTTAGATAATTGCAATGGAAGTTGTTGACAGCGTCCTTGAACACTGTGACACTGTTCTTTTGATCTGTTAACTTTGCGTTATTGTTTGGGAATAATTGTCCAGAGATATTTTTTCTTTGTTGCATGTCTCAAAATGTTGCTCTGCAAAAGTCTGTCTGACCATGAAAAGTTATTTTTTTTAATTTCTTTTTTTAAACATTATTGTTCCATAGTTTTGACCCAGAGGGGTTTGAACTTTCCACTAGATTTTACAGGGGCTTGATCGCAGGGCACCGTGCAGTGAGGCATGGCAGACTTCAGGGAATCCCCAAAGAAGTTATAGCCTCCTCTACATGGTAGAAGAAACAAAACATAAGGGTTAAAACAGATGAGTGGAAACACAAAGTAGCTGAGGATTTAACACACGTGAGCCTACGTCAGGACTTGTCTGCGGCTCAGCTGTGTGTGAAACACCATTTATAGAAGAGCAAAATGTATTAGAAGCAACAAGATAGGTTTGGCCAAGCGAACATGAACAAAGATTTTATTTTTAAGACTCACAGATTAATACTGTGTGATTTCTATGGTTATTTGTGTGGTTGCTTTACCTTTGATTAAATGCAGCTAAGAACATAATAGCCGATATGATAATTAACACCATGGATGCGGCCTTTACTGTTTGTACTTAAACGCAAAATACATTAGTTGATCACATACTTCTGAACGTGGAGACACGTTGACAACCGGCTTCCAACAGATCTCAGAGAGACAACTAAGCCACAGACATGAAAGAGAAGAATCTGACACATTCAGTTGCCCTAAGTGCTCGGTGGCTATGAATTAAAGTGTCTCTCTCACAGAGTCCTCCTGTTGTTGAACGTCAGTGTGGACGTGACACTCATACACCCTGCAGCTGGCCACTAAAAGAAAGAAGCGGTTTTATTGTTCCAAATGAAAGGAGGAAAATAATGTGATTTGTTGAGAACTAAAGTGGTTGTGTAATTGTATCTCACACACACAGACACAAACAACAAGCATGGCAGGGCTCTCTCCTGACTGCATGACTGTCTCCCTCTCATGCATGTATCTGCATGGTATATGATGTTTTTCTGCATCTTTTTTGAAGTGACATGATTTTCTAACACATGCCGATGTGTATGAACACCAGCCCCCCCGATTCTGTTGCACATTGTGGACATGTTTGTTCTACCCGCATATTCATGTTTTTTTTTCTTTTTAATGAAATACATTTTGCCGTTCTTGTAGCTGCTGCCTCAGGGCTTTGACAACTTTACAGTGGGGGCACATGTTCATTTTACTTACTCCCAAATTATTTTTAACTAGAGGCCAAAATAGGTAAATTGGTCTTATTTAGCCCCAACCAATCAAACAAGGTTATTTTAGTTGTGTTTACCTTCAAAAACCTGTTCATGACAGATTTTAGGACACAATTTTGCATTTAGATGATTTTTGCGTTTGCAGTTTTTATTTATTTATTTTGTGACAGAAGCATATTTCTGCCATGGCAGAAAAAGAAAAGTAGATAATTTTATAATGTCAAAGGTTCTTAACATTATAAACAGGTATATTCATGTTATTGCGACACAAATGTATCACGTTATAAGAGTTTTTTCTTGTTTCAACAATATACCATTTAAATATATTATATATTTATGATATAAAATGTTTCATGTTTTAACAAAAATATATAAATTATTTATTTTTATAATGTGTTTGAAAAAGCAGAATCTAGCATTGTTTCACATTGTAAAAATATTGGAATTTATCACATTAAAACGTGAAACATTTCCACCGATAATGTGACATGTACACGTGTCGTAATAACCTGAAATATCTTCTTATAGCTATAAACTTTTCACATAACATTTGATATTTATCTGTTTTTCAAAATGTTGTGGCAGCAATATATTTCTGTGGTGGAGGTTGTGTTTGTATTTTATGAAACAGCTGCTGGTCTTTGGATTGTGAAACACCACCTGTGTCTCTGCTCAGTAGCCTGTATTGTTGTTTTTGTTTACTCTCCTCTCTCTCCTCACACCAGCATCGGCTGGTATCTCTGTTGGGAGCACATGGCTTTAATGTGTTGGTATGACTGAGTGTGAAGTGCCTTTATATTTTATTAGTAGCCACTTATTCAGTAAGCTTGTAGAAATAGTCCCACAGCTAAATAGATGTTCGGCAGAATATAAGCTCCTGTAGTGCAAATTAGTTTACAGTTTTTTCCTTGCTCTGCTTATTTCCAGCTCGTAGTTCCCTCAGAGTAGTGCTACAAGACGGATTCCTTTCACTCCATGTCATGATACCAGTGTAGGCAGACCAGAGATAAACATACATGAAAATAAAACTTATACATTTGGACCTTTAGTTATAATTTTTAGGGGCTTCAGGAAGTTTAAATTTTGAAATACTATTGATAGATAGAATGATCATGGAAATAATATAATTATAAAAACCACTGCATTTTCTTGACATTGCTATTGTTAAGATGTCTAAGAATCCTAAACATCCATACTGCCCATACGGATCTTTCGCGTTGATGCCCTTTCCAACCCTCTTATCAATTTGAGAAAAAAAACAACAACAAAAAACAATTGTGTTCTGTTACATTTTAAACACTTTGCCTTTACTTCCAACTTCCTTCCTCCCTTCCTCTCTCCTTTCTTCTCTCCTCTACCCCCTACCGTCCCTTCCTCGCTACCCCCTCTTCTAGCAGCCGCCCCAACCAGAGGATGTGCCCCCTCGGCCCAAATCTGGTAACGTTCAGCAAAGGCTGCAAACACTGCGGATTGCCACGCGCTTTTACTGCGCCATGAAACACGTAAGAGATGTAAGAGAACCAGGGCTCATATTCCAGGCATGATCTATTAAACCAGTATTATTTTATTGATATTTATTTGTACGGCCGAGAATTTTTGTTTCCTCGTTTTCGCACTTTTCATCCATTTGCCGTCACCATTTGCTCAACTTGTCACAAAGTTCATCGTTAGATTTGCCGGTTCTATTTTTGTTCCTACCATTCACTCAATGACACCTACATGTATCTGAAACACTGGAGAGCAAGAAGTGAAACAGTAAGGTGGTGGCACTGATGGGAGGGACACTGCGTGAACAAAAGAACAATCAGGAACCAGAGATGCAAGAAGAAAATACTTGCACAGCTACAAAAATGAATAATGCTTGAGGGAGAAGTTCTTTCTTTAAGTATATAATAATGTTTCATTGTACAAATTGATGAGCAGATGAATTATTTAATAGAACTGTGTGTGCAAACTACGGCTGTAATAGAAACAGAAAAGACATCTAAATGTGTCTTCTTATCCAGTGTAGAACACTTGATGAAGAGTTTGAAGTAACAGTTTTTATAGCAGATGATGAAGAGAACGTGCCCCTTCTGCAACATGGTGCAGAAATTATTTCCTGGCTCCAAAGCCTTTTGAGATTAAAAAAAAAAAAAGTGTATATTCTTAAAGCAACACTAAGCACCCTGCGTGATTAAGTGGAAAAAACAAAGACCATCAATGTCTTTAGCTGACTGACTGCATAGTCAGACTCACTGAATTGAAACACAACTCACTGGTTGATATTGCCCGTGATCCCCGGCTCCCTGAACAAAAAGTGCTGCTGGTGTAACAAATACGCCAAACTCTTCTTCATACCTGCTCGTCAGTTACTTACAGGTGTTCAGGGTGACGAGTGGCAGGGAAAGCAGCAAGAACTGTTGAAAAGAATTATCTTTTTGAACTGGGGGAGGATTTCACCTGTCACACAGCTCTGCACAGGCGCAGCCCACTCTCTCCTTCTGCCTCTCTCTCTATGTATATATATATTTCTCTTCCTCTACTTACTACCTAAATGTAGTGCGCCACTCCCAGAGTTGAGACACCTACAGCCTAACAAGTAGAATCTAATGCATGACTGGAAGTTAGCACATAATGAACAAGTTAGAACAACTGTCAGGAAGAAAAGACCATTCAAAATGGACTTGTAGAACGGCGGATGAATGTGCGAGCGGAAGTGTCATTTGAGGTGACAGATGTGGAAAAATGCTTTCAGGTCAACGTTTGCTCTTTGCAGTCAGCCCGACGCTGCGTCCTCGTTTACCTCAGTCTAGTCAGTCGTTCATGCCATATTTTTTACAAATTGGAGGTCTATGTCTGTGTATATATTTAGATATATATGTGCGATGTTTTCCTGTGTTCATCTGTGTAAAGTTGTTTTCTGTACGTGTGTGTCTGTTTGTGCTCATTGTAGTGCTGTTTATGTGTCGCTGCTCTTCTCCTGCTGCCATAGAAACACTAGTAGCTCAACTGCTGCTGCTGCTGCTCTGTTACCTCATTTCCTGCTCTCTTTTTCCTCAGTGACTGAGAACTAGGCCCCATTTCCCCCTCACATAACACCTTCTTACCTCTACAGGCTTCTTGCAGCGTTGCAGCAGCCTGGTTTAGAAGAGTGGTAATGCCAGTAGATAGACAACTAAATAGGAAACTGTTTTCCTCTAGTTGTAGGCTGAATAGTAAATATCTGTCAGTGGTATGCTGGCTTTGTAGAGCAATAAGAGTTTTTATTAGCTGAAAATCACAACTGATTTCTGAAAAAGAAAAGGAGACTATACTCTGCTACGAACCTGATAGAAAGTGGATGCTTCTCTGTGTCCAGCCCGGTGCCGATAAGGACGTTTCATGGCTTTGAGTTGGACATCTTGTGTTTTTTTGTCTTGGCACAAAGTGTATGGATCTACTGGATGCAAAACAAATATTCAAACCCCTGTACATTTTAATGTTAAACAATATTAAAACAATGCGGATCAGTGCATCAGATGGATCTGTGCCCTGCTGTGAGCATGCTGCATGCACCAGTTGATACGGTCAAATCATTTGGCTTGAAAAGAGGTCGGCCTTAGTTTGGACAGAACTGCCTGTACTCTGTTGGCCAACTCATTTAACCAGTAATATTTTGTGTTTGGCTCAATCAAACAGGCTTATCTAACAAACCACAGGCTCAAAGCCTCATTTAAGTCATCTGGGTATTTCAACATGCAGGAATGTCTTTATCAAGAGGATGAATTTAAACACACTGCTGATGTCAATCATTACTGGGATCAGAATTAATTTTTGTTATCTTGCATATTGAAATACCCCCTGACTAACAATGTTAAACAAGGTGATATGCTGTCTTTTAGTCCCATGGAATAACATTTACAGTTTATGAAAATTTATATTTTTAAAGTATTCTGGGGAAAAAGAATGATGGACACTGATGCTGATATTATTGCTTTTAGTAGATATTTTCTTCATGTGCAGTTTTTGACCTTTATGTGAAATATTTAAATGTATTTTAGGGATTCAAACTGATTGGACGAGCTGACTCATCCTCTCAAACAAAAATTCATACTTGACTTTAAGCACCAGAATTCTGTCACATTTTTGCCCAGCTCTACTTGTTACAGTGCCGTGCCTCTTAGTTTCAAACAGCCTTGTGGTGTGGTCTTGACTGTTTTTTGTTTGTATTTGGTCAATACTAATGGGCAGGCCAAGGAGCTGCCCACCTACAAGGACAACGACTTCATCAATGATGGGCAGAAGATCTGCATCAATGACGAGAACAAGAAAATGTTCCTGGAGAAGCTCAGGAAAGACGTAGAGGTAAGTGTCAACGATGAGATACGGATGAAAATATGGATATGGAGTCAAACATTTTTGCCTTTTTTTCTCAGTTTAGAAATCCATGGTGCACGAGTGCAGTTGTCAGCAGCTTCTGATGCATTTAATTAAGCAAAATAGCTTTATTTTTAAAGAAGATACTATGCTTTTTCAGTTCTTCACTCAACTTATATATGTGTATGTATGTTATAACAGTTCTGCAAAGTCAAAATGCCCAAAGTCTGCATTAAAGAGAGCTCCTGAAACACTTCGGCCAATTCTGGGGAATCATGATGTCGTGTGATATCAGAATCAGAAATACTTTATTGATCCCAGAGGGAAATTATGCCCCACATTTGCATACTGCACACCAAGAGGCTAGTCTGACGCACCCTCTGACAAAGCCAAGTAAATGAGTGCAGAGGCTGATATTTCCTACACATGCTGGAACCACTGGAACAATCACAACAGAGTAGGCTGGCTGTCCAATCAGAGTGCTCAAAACTTCCCACAAAACACTGTGTCTAAACTTTAGAGCATGTAAACCAAGTAATAATACAAATTAAAATAACAAACCCAAACATTAACATGACATGTCTCCTTTAAATATTTTGAGGCTGCAAATCTTTAAAGCTGTAAGTTACATCCCACAGTGTCTTCTCTTCCCTCTGGATTAATGTATTTCTGCACTCTTTCAAATGACCCTCCTTTTTTAATCTTTGCTATCTATGCTCCTCATCTTCACACTTCAACTTCCACTTATTTCATCCATCGTCCCCCAGTTCCTGGCCCAGCTGAAGCTCATGGACTACAGTCTGCTGGTTGGGATCCACGACGTGGAGCGATCCGAGCAGGAGGAGGTGGAGAGCGAGGACAATGAGGCAGAGGAGGAGGGAGAGAGTGACGGAGGGGGCATTGGGACGCCCCCTGACAGCCCCAGCAACACGCTGGACAGCAACAAGCCTCTGTCACCTGGAGAGTTTGATCCCACCATCGATGTCTATGCCATCAAAAGCAATGATAGTGAGTAGCAAACTGCATTTTCAGGCTGAGAGCATAATGTTAAACGTGACCCTCACAATGCACAATGAGAGCGCCCCCTACTGGGTGTTGTGGCTCTCCTTCTAGTTATCAGATCACATAGTGCCAGATTTGTTTACGTGGCAGTGCTGTGCAAATTCATATTCCCATTTAGGATGCATTTGTTTTAAACTTTAGGTGCTCCCAGGAAGGAGGTTTACTTCATGGCTATCATAGACATCCTGCAGCATTATGATGCCAAGAAGAAAGCTGCCCATGCTGCCAAGACTGTCAAACATGGGGTGTGTAGCGGCATACAAGGACAATTTAAACAATTTAATAAACAATTTAAAAGGAAAAGATATATAAACGTACATTGTCTAAATGTCATTTGTGTGTCCCTCCGCAGGCTGGGGCGGAGATCTCCACCGTGAACCCGGAGCAGTACTCCAAGAGGTTTTATGATTTCATCACCACTATCCTGTCATAGCCTCCAGGAGCCTACAGGGGCACGGAGGCACACTGGGTGGGGGGGAAGGGAGGACAAGTGGGGTGCAGGGCAGAGAAGAAAAGTGACAGAGAGGAGAGAAGTCCCTCACTCATTCTCCTCATCCCTCCCTCTTTGTTTCCCTCTTTCAGTGGGGTGCTTCGCTCTGCAGCTAAAATCAACACCATTCGTTTACATTTAACCTCTTCCTCTGAGTTCTGTGTGTTACTTTGGATGATAAGGGTGTTAAAAGCAAGTGTTCAAGTCATTACGTATTTTTTATTTGTTTTGTCTGTGGTTGTTTATGTGGGAATATGGCTGATTTTTTTATTGCCTCTAACATAACATCCAGCACCCATTTTTTTTTAAAAATACATTGATGTTTATATTCGTCTTTTCCTTAATGATGTTCAGGAGGGAGGTTGGGGAGGGTATGAAATTATACAGAATCCAGCTCAAGGTTCCTCTTGTAGGGAGAAAGAGTATGATGTGGGGGGAGGGAGGAGTGGGTGAGATAGAAGTGAAGAAGGAGCCAAAAAAAAAAAAAAAAAAAAGGACGTTTAGGTTGAGCCTCGTCTAATGCAATTTTATTTCAGGAAGTAGGAAGCAGTCTTCCAATAGGCCAACAGCCAGACCCCCACTCCAATGCTGTACAAGTTCTCAGCCAAACAAATTTTCCTGTTTTGGTTCCTCCTCCATCGACCGCCCTTTAAATGCCTCCCCTTCACTTGACGTCCTGTCGTGTGTAGAGATAATGAATAGAACTTCTGGGTTATCCCCTCGCAACAACGTCAAATCAACTAAATCAGCTTCTTGGCTGAGACAAATTCAATAAATGATATGTCTTTCCTAGTTGCACCTCTCTCAGTGTTTTGTCCCTTTTGTTGTGACATGCAGTGATTGATAACGACTGAGGTGAGACATGTATCTGTGTCATTTCCTCTGAATAAGTTGGGCATTGTTTGTTAAGTCACGCTTTCTGTTCCCTCGGCAGGGAATGACCCAGAAGTTTCTTGTGGCTGTCTTAGAGTGAGTCACTCCTCGTTCTTTCTTTCTCACAGTTTCAGATTGAAACATCAGCAGCCCTCAACTTTCTGTTGCCATCAGCACCTTATGAGTAAAATCAAAAAAGAAATAAAGTTGCACTTTTATGTTGTTAGAGGTTAGGAGCTCTTGTTCTGTTACATGTGCTGCAACAAAGAGGAAAAGGAACTCAGCTCTCTTAGGATTGAATTTTTAAAACCTGATTTCAAATCCTGTCTCCTCCATCGGTTCTTACCAACTGGTACAACTCACAGGGATTGTTTGGGAAGAATTCACTGCGATGTTAGAAACGGAAATAATTTCTGTTAACGCGTCGTTTGCAAGCAGATCTTTCCAATCTGTGGTGATGTGTCAGGTTTTGGGAGCAGGCGACAGTGTGACTGTGCGTTCAGGACAAACAGAGGAATGTTTACATCTAGCATCGTACCAGCACACACTCAGTGATGGCGAGTCGTGTGTGCACTCGTGTCAGTGTTCAGAAGTTGTACAGGAGTGATAAAGAACAGAGGAGGGAGGTTCAGAAGAGCAGATGTAAAGATACGTTAAGACTTTAAGACCAACTGCATCACTCTCCTCTCTAACCTCAGCTGTGAGTCTGTTACTCATGTCGTTTGTGTCATTGTTGTTGACATTTTTTTTAAAGGTGGTTTATCTGTGTTTGAATTTGGCAGTTATGAATTGATGTGGTAATCATTTTTTTTAATTCAGTTTGAGGTTGTTGTTTTTTTTGTATATTTTGCACAAGAGGAAAGGAACCAAACGTTACAAATCTGATCCCATTTAGTCTTTACGGTCTTAACAAGGGAAATGCAATATACTTGTGTGTAAGTGAGAAAAGTTGTTGTGCGCGTGATGTTGTGTATCTCGATAACCAACTAAAACAAGTTAACGTCCTCCTCCTTGACTTATTCTTACCCATGCAAAAAGCTTCCATTGCAATATGTTTGCTTAGATATCATAGATTATATTCACAATTATATTTTTACATTGGATTTTAGTCATGAAATATAGTTGTATTTAAAAAAAGAAAAAGGAGCCACATGTGGGAATGAATGATGGTGCTGTGGTAAATGAAGAATGATAGTGCTTGAATTTATACAATGTTTAGTGTAGATGTACTTTTAAAAAAAAAAGTCATAAAAAAATTGCATGTCACAGGACTAAGTTTCCTTCGCCCTCTTGTCCGTGTCGTCGGCTGTTCAGGTTCTCGTGCGTCTCCACGTTATAACCATATTTGTGAGATGTGTTCAGCGTAAATTAGTCCCTTTTCATGCTTTAAATAACTGGTTATCATTGTATACACTGTGCAAGATGTGTGCCTTTATACTCCAAAATGATTTAATTTTATATTTTCTAATCTTTTTTTAAAAACAAAAGGTAAAAGGTTTTTTTAATAATAGGGTTTTATTTTAATGTACCATTATTTCCGACTTATTTTCAACCGTCTCCCTACTCCAACACCCCCTCTATCGTGTATTTTCAGTTTGTTCACGTCAGTTAAATGAAACCATTCTAATGATTGTGTTTTAACCAACAACAAGTGAATCACTGTCTTAAATTTGAAGTGGTCCATCCGTTTGGACTCTGATCCACCATTCTGATAATTCAGTATGTGCTGGCGTCGTCGTCCTTCTCCTCAGACTGGAGCTGGCGTGTGCTGAAGTTAACCCCTTCTCCGTCCACGCTGGTCCTGCCTTCATAAAGAACGTATTTGTGTGTTCGTGTGTGTGTGTGGAAGTGCATTGTGGAGTACGTGATTGTGTTGTGTCACACTGACTGACGGCTTTTGTGCCAGTCACCATCTTCCTCACACTTTCCCTGCAGATGCAATCACATTTTTGGAATGTGATCATTTTAAGTGTTCAAGTGTTTGTCCAAAATTTCACTTTGTTTTCGATGTACAACTTCCATTCACATTCTCTTGATTCTTTACCTCCATCTCTGTGCGAAACCCGGATCCCTTCTTGTCGTCAGGGGAGATGATCAGCTGATATCTCATCCTGAGTCAGTGGTCGATGTTTCTATGCTCCATCACTATAAATGGGCTGTTTTCTAGTTTTAATGTTCATAGGTCTTGTCATAAAGGAAACAGAGAACACGATCATCTCCGAGTCTGCTTTGCTCTGTCTGGCCCTGGAGGCTTCCTGTAGTCAAACATCAGCAAATGTAGAAAACAGAGCAGTGCATGCTGGGAGAGTGTTGTTTTTTTTATTTTCTGTTTTGTGTGAGGTTTTTCTAAGTAACAAATCTAGATTTCACTTAACAAAGACAAAACCACACTTAAACTGATGCAAATTAAAGACAATTATAATCCACGTGCCCTGCTGCTGTACAAGTCCGAGCTTTCATGACATCTCTCATTAACCAGTTGACCTGCTGCCAGCTTTAACTTGCCAAAAACAAAAAAAAGCATCTTTCAGCAATCACAACCACCCGACATGAGCTTGAAGAAAATTGTGTTTTTTTGTGAAATGTGTCTGTTTGAAATATTTTTTCTTTCCTAACTGGGAGATACGTCGCTGAATATGCCCAAAGTGCTCCATTGAGTGTAAAGGGAAGAATTCAAATTAAACAATGCACATGACTGGAGGCCGGGCTCGATCTGCAGAGCTGGGGAGATATCCTTTTGGCTTTAAAAGAATCGAAAATCATAAAATGGAAAAAATATTTTTTTAAATTCTTGAAAATAATCAAAACACAAGAGACCAGGAAATCTCCTCCTGCAGAAGGTGCTTTGACCTCACTTTTAGACTATACATCTAAAAGACTCAAGCATTAGTGTGTGTGTGTGTTTGTATTGTTGTCTGACAGTGGTTGGTGAGAGTTCCCTTTCAGTGGCTGAAAGGCCAAAACGATGTTGTATGTTTTATTGTTCTACACATTTAATGATGATAATAATACACTCCATTCCATAAGCCTTCACTCAAACCAATTAAAGCACTTGTTCTGCTTAACTCAAAATCTACCTTTGTCTCTTTTTTGCTTTGTCCTTTTTTTACAATTTTGTCTCATATTTATAACTTAAATGTTAAATTTTATTTTCGTAATCAGTATAGTTTTACTTCTTTATACTTATAGTTTGCAACGACTTAAAGGAAAAGGCACCTGTGTGAACAGTTGGATTAAAAGAGCTTTGCTGCATTTAATTATCTCCAATTAATCAATTTTGATTTCTCCTCATTTAACAATTAAAAAACAGGATTAGATTTAAAAGTAGGCTATATTTAACTCATATACTGTATGTAAAGATTGCTCCAATTTTTTCTGCAGGGATAAATGACGATAGTGAGGGGCTCAGCCACTAGGGGGCAGTAAACCACACTGAACGCCTCTCAATATTACTATTAAAATGACATATGAACTTTGTAAACTACATCTGTGGGGGAGCTGGCCTTAACCTAGGAGATGCAGCTTCATATCCATGTGTTAGTTGGCACCCACACTGCTGAAGTGTTGAGCAAAACAACCACACGTCTACCACCTCTGTCACTAATCCTCACCTTTGACCTCTCTTCAGATCAGAGAGTCGATTTTTGACAAACTCCTCACTGGTTGTTAAAGGAGAAGTTCGGTTTTTTTCAACCTGGTCCTTATTTCCAGCATATGGTGTGTAGATCTACTCACCCATAAAGGTTTGGAGTAACTTTGAGTCCTTCGGACGCTTTTAGGTCCACACGCGATCGGCGTATATCCATACAACGCCATGGTTCGGGGTATACACAACACAGCCTCCAAATAACGCATTATCTGCCGCGAAACTCTTTATTTACGATGAATCTCCAGCACCGGTCCCCTGTGAGTCTCGCCAGCCTCGGAGCTAGCGTTCGCTTAGCGAGGTGCTTTGTTTACATCCCGGGCTTTCACTGGGGTGACGTCACCGAGGCGCGCAGCCGCAGACCAGCTGACGATCAGTTGACTATCAGCTGTGTTTGTTAACACGGAGTTTGCTGCTGCTAGTTTTGCGCAACATGGCAGAATACTTATCAGGTGCTTTACAGTACAGTAAAGTAAAGCAGCTGTGTCCTGGTGCTCGGGCGTATTCACCCGGTTAAAGGCTAGCTAACTTCAGCGGGCTAACGAGCAGCCTCGGAGCTAGCGTTAGCTTAGCGAACCGATTTGTTGATTAAACAGGAAGACAACTCGCTCTCGGTTCGCTAAGCTAACACTAGCTCCGAGGCTGGCGAGACTCACAGGGGACRYGTGCTGGCYATTCATAGTKAWTAAAGAGTTTCYRYGCAGATAATGCGTTATTTAGAGGCTGTATTGTGGATGCCCCGAACCCTTGTGTTGTATGGATATACGCCGATCGCGTGTGGACCTAAAAGCGTCCGAAGGACTCAAAGTTACTCCAAACCTTTATGGGTGAGTAGATCTACACACCATATACTGTTCTTTGTGTGTTTTTTAGAGAGAGAGTTTTTTAATTCTATATTATCTTACAATTACA